AAAGTGACCATATTTCAATGCTTCTTTTAGTTATCGACTGTAAAGTCAAACATTTGTCTAACTAATGAAAGCAGATAATAAACGGAAACAATACATGCTTAACTTCAGTTGTTTATATCAATTCATAGAAAGAATGCGACGATTAAGCACCTAGCAAGTTGTCTCCCCAAAGCAGAAAAGGGGAGTAAAATTATTAATTAAGCTACAATAGACCAAAACATTCTCAATATTATTTTGGATAAGTAAGTAGGTAGCTTAATTCTTATTTTACTATTAAATATAAGCGGGAGCAACATTATTGTATTTTTAAATATCAGATAAAATGGACTGCATGGTTCTTGACTTGAATTACAAAAAAAAAGTGACTCATGAATCAATTGAACCAGCGACTTTTGCATTAGTAATTCAACATTTTTATGGTACGGCCACGGAGTTTAGTCAGAACTTATACTGGTATAAAATCTGATTTAATTTGTTGCGAAACCTGGGTGTCTGAGGTAAAAAATCAAGGCGGATTCATAAACCTCAAGTATAGTAGTACATTATTTTATAAAATTTAAATGGCCTTTAGTAAAAAATTGTCGAGGGGACGTCATCAAATTATTTGTGGGTAGTTAAATTTTGGTTACCGCTGTGATTTTTTTTGTCCATCTAATAAAAATCGACACAGACGGCAAACGGCAGACAGACAAACAGATAATGGATGGACAGCAACAGGAGATCTAATTTTTCGTCGTCTAGGGGTCATGCAACGTCGAGAAAACATGAAAGTAGCCAGTCGCACAATGAACCCTATTACAATATATATTTGAAAATAATACTAATATTTATGTTCTTCTGTCGAGTGAGGGTGGAAATTAATAATAGAATCTAAAATGTGAAAAAAGTAAAAAAAAACGCTAATCGTATTTTTTTTTGTTATACTATTTGCTACAAAATTTACTTCTCATTTCATGCACCTGACCTGACTTGACCTAACGTGAACCGATATGTCATTTGTCAAATTCAGTCTTATCTTAGCAAGTACTAGCCCCGCCCACCCACCCACTATATTCTTGGAAGGTATATCATTTGCCAAAATTCGTTTTATTGAATTTAGAGTTTATCCGCTTGCTCTTCACTTTTTATTAAAATTGTATTTATATTATAGCGTACATGTTTCGGCCTATCTTTCAGCCTTCTTCAGCGCTATTCGTCACTATAATTTGTGTATTCTAATCTACGTAGTTAAAATATAAGTTTTTACTCTTTTCGCATCCTAGATTCTATTATTAGTTTCCACTCTCACTCGACAGAAGAACTTAATTAGCCCCGCCCACCCACCCTGTCTCCTTTTCAGTGATTGATTTTAAAATGAGTGATTTTATACCGGACAGAAATACAATTAGTCGTTAGAATCAGAAGAGTGAGGGTGGGCAGGGTTACTAATTGCTAAGATAAGACAGATTTTGGCAAATGACATACCATACAAGAATATAGAGGGTGGGTGGGCGGGGCTAATACTGGCTAAGATAATACTGATTTCAGTTTTTCCAAATTTGTAACAAAAATTGTCGATCTTTAATATGAAATAACAATTTGGTAACTTGGCAAATTTTAGTGTTAAAATACGAATACCTATTTTTTCGTTTGACATTCTAAATTTTGATTTTGATGTTAATAACACTTACAAATTTGTAGTAAAACCCTAAATTCACAATTTAAATCACTTTCCAACACTAGAAACCTAAAAAATTGCGTAAAAATTAAAAATTGAACAGTGATGTGTTTGAAACTCCGACTCGGTTAATCAAATTTGAGTATTATTTATTCCAGTTTCAGGAAAAAAGTCTGAAATCCGACAAAGAATAAGATATTGTAGAATTGTGGAACAAAAAAAAAATTTGAATTTTTTAAACAGAAAATTCCTAACTCAAAATTCCAAAATATTTTGAAATTAAAACTTACAAGTCTACAGTGAAATCAAAATTCTCACATTGAAACTCTTAATACTAATACCAAAATTCTAAATTTTATTAAAGATAAGTGGAATTTCTTAAAATCTGGAAATTTAGTTTTCGCTCGGCAAGTAAACACATTCCCTTTTTATGATTTGATTAGTTTTGGAAAAAAAATCACAGATAAGGATACAAAATTATTTTTAGGACACTTTTCTGGCTTTTTTATTTCTCAAACGTGAGTCAAGGAAGTATTGTAATAGGGCCCATTTTTCAAATTACTGTTTTCAGGTTTTCTTGAAATTTTATGACTACGAGACTACGAAAAAGTAGGTCTCCCGTTTCCGTCTGTCTGTCTGTCTGTCGTCTGTGTCATTTTTTTTAATTATTGAGCTCTCAATTTAGATTCAATTGGAAATAGAACAAAACTTGCAAGATATTTTCAAAATCGTACAAATAGAATAAAATAATTCCCAAAATGACATAAAATTTTCTCTATGTTAATATAGCTTTATAATTAAGAATACCACTAACCCTTTCTAAATTTTGTAAAATGTCTTCTGAAGTTTAAACATTCGAAGAAGTGTGCTATCTTTATTTTTTTTTTCAGAACGTGAGTTTACAACATAAAAATAGACTTATAAACTAAGACCAGGTTTACAGAAGCTCAATTAAATAATTAATTGTGATTAAATTTTTAAAACGGCATTAAAGTACCACGTGACGGTCTCTACGCCAATCAGATGTCGCTAAGTGCCTCGTTAAATGCGTAATTAACTTAATTTCAGTTAAAATATTGTTTAAACTGGCTCTAAGTATTTTAAAACTGCATGTTACACTATATATATATATAGCTATTGCACGCTTTGAAGTGAGGATTTTTGAATTTTGACAGTAGATTGTATTTTGGGAATATTAACTGCAAATGGGCTTTAGGAATTTTGAAATTTGGACGTTGGTAATTTGGTTTACAGTGTCAGGTGCGGGATTCGAACCTGCACTAGTTTTTCGAATCAAAACTTAAGTCTAGCAGCAATCTGATTTTGATCGAAACTATGTAAATTAGGTTAAAAAAAATCTCTGAATACGGAAATTGCTTTTACGACACTGTTGTGGAATTTTTTTATTGAACTGGAAATCAAGATTCCGTTATATTTGATATTGCCAAAACATTTTCAAAATCATATCAATAAAATAATACAATTTTCCAAAATAATAGAAGCATTAAATTTTCTCTTTGTTAATAATAAATTAATAACAATTTAAATTTTGTAAAAGCTGGGTAATTTTCAAAAGTTTAAAAATTTTGAGATTTTATGGACAATTCCAAGTTGCTTTAAAAATTATGTAGAAAGTCCACAGGTGTCTTTTATTTTCTAAAATTTGTGATATGTGTATTTAAAGGATTCTTCAATTCAGGATATGTATTCCAGAATTATGCAAAACTACCAAGAGCCTCAATATTCCCAAATGTATTTTTTTTTATTTTAAAAATTTCAGTTTGATAATAATTAAGAATCAAATGATTTGAAGTCGTTGAATAAATACACAAAACAAAAATGGCGCATCTGCGAAACGCGGGGCCCCGAAACCCCTGGATGCGGCCCTGTCGCCTCGAACGATTTAGCCTCCATTAGTAAAGCTGTCATGATATTGTTTTTAATTAACGCAACAAGAACTCTCATTCAGACATGATGCTCTGTTGCATTTACTGCTTGAATAAACGGCGTTATCGTGCTGACAGGGCTTTAGAGATATGTATTTAAATTTTAAAATCGACGCGCTGATGTTGATGTCTTGTAAGTACTTGGGAAAAGTGGACGGCATTTGTTTTTGTTTGGTCCGTTTGGTTTATTTTATCAGGTGCGGTTGCGGCTACGACTCCAGTTTTAGACTAATTTAAGGCGCAGAACATGCGAAAACGTATTTATCTGGAATTGTGTAATGTTCGATTTGTGCGCAGGGACGGCTTGAGTGCTGAAGTGATTTTGTGATGAGGAAAATATTTGTCTTGTTTGGGGCTATTTTTAGAATGTTAGAAATGGTAATATTATTATCTCTGTCTAAATGAACTTGGATAAAAATTTAATTAATCTTTGCCGAAAAAAAACACACTTTTTTATTATTTTTACTTAATTTTTATTTTTTTATGTGTATTTTCACCTCTTAGGTAACGCACGTATTTATATGCGTGCTAGGAAACACATTGGCGTCTCATCGTTAGGGAAAGAGATTAGCATACGTAGAGGTCCGCAAATCCTTTCCAGCAGACGAGGGGAATCGCCCGTCCTCAAGCTCGTGTCAACTGGTGTCCACAATCGCGCAGTTCCGCGAAAACAAATTTTTTCCTCACGTATTTATGCGGCATAAATATACATAGGCGTCTCATCGTCAACAAGCGCGTTTCGTGGAAGTTCGCAAATCCGTCGCGCAGACGAGGGGAATCGCCCGTCCTCAACCTCGTGTCAGCCGGTGTCCACATCGTGTAGTTCCGCGAAAACAGACTTTTTTCCTATGTATTCATCTAGCATGAATGTACACGGCCACCGAAGGAGGTTCATCGAGCATTATGTATGTCCGCGACCGCAGACGAGGGGAATCGCCCGTCCTCGAGGTCGTGTAAAACTTGTCCTCGCCGCCGCCACCGTCTCCCGTCGACGGCCCGCCGCTGTCTGCATCGTGCATAGGTGCGAACAAAGCGTCGAGATCGACGTCGGCCGTGGTCCGCGGCGATTGGGCGAGACGAGAGGGCGGGGCGAGGCGGTCCCTTTGCAGCGCTCTTCAATCCGCCGGCGGAGGGGAAAAAAGCGGTGCGGGAGGGGCGGCGAAAAAGAAGTAGGGCGCGATTTTTAGTGGTGGTGGATGGATCGGTCCGCCGAGGGGAGGCCGCAAAAATGCGCTCAGAAGGTCCCCACTCGCGGCGGCGATTTTTTCCGGATCGCCGCGACTACGTACTGCGCTTGTGTTGTGTGATCGCGACAATTTGTCGCCGTTAAAAGAATTCCGTGACATCGGTAGTCGCGTTCTGTCGTCGGTGGCAAAAACAGGCCCGGAGACGCCACCGCAGCCCCCTCCCACCGCCCCACTCCGCTCCACCCACTGGGCAGACGCGCAAAAATCCGCCGCCAGAAAGAAGAGCGGCCGCGGCCGACCGCAATTATCACCTGGTGCTGGCTACGGTAGCGGCGAGACGCGCGCGTACGGGATCTACCACGTGGCCACGTGGCGATGGTGGAGTGAAAAAAATACGAGAGGACGACGAGTGCTGGTTCGGTTGTGGTGCGGGTGTGCTGGAAGCCATGCTTCCTCTGGCGACGACTCAGTGAGTGCAGCAGCGACTGGGACACACCATGTCCCAGTTTGGCTTCCGAGCATCGCCGAATACTCAGGTACTACATTTTCTCTTCTTGGCTACGCTACGGCACGGGGTGGCCTGCGCAAACACCCCCGACGCAACGCCACCTACCAACTATTTTACTAGGGAGTACACTTCCAAACTAGCAATTTTGCCCAATACCACCTCCTTGACCGAGTGGCGGCGGCGGCCTGCACGACTAATTGATCTCCTCGAGACATCGATCGGGGGGTTACTTCGACCTCCACTATGACATACATCACAAAAAAAAAACAGAAATTATCAATCACACTTGTACGTATAGATTTATAAGCACCAAAAGTAGCAAAAATTGTCAAGTAGATCATTTACACTACCCGATAAAAGTATTTTCCCACTTTTAAAATCAACGTTTGTTTACATTGCTTAACAAGACCTGATGTAAATAATTCGTTCGTCAATGTGACCACTTTTGTGTTTCATGAGGGCTAAAAAAATTTCAAAATGTGTCACAAATGTTCTAGTGGCCCTGTAGGATTTGTCAAAAAAAAATTATGTATAAATGTTGCAAAAAGTCCCCATGATAAGAAAAACAAGTAGGTTTAAAACATCAAAAAATTAATTGAGAACAAAACCAAAAAAATATTCAAAAAAATATTTTCGAGTTCACGAATTAGTGGAAAGCTCGTTTATTTATTACATTATGTTTTGCTATGACGTTTGGCTTGTCGAATTTTGTACATCGAAAGGTTAATTTTGACGTAATACAAAATGGTAATGCATTTTGATAAAAGTGCATTTACCTTTATGTGTAGCAAAATAAACAATATTGTTTGTCAACGAACGACATGAACAGGTTCATTGTTTAATTAATTAAAAAATGTACATAAAGGTACTGAAGATTGAAAAAGAAATATATTTATAACCAGCTAGTTAAAATGGGCAACGTCAAGTAATAAATTAAAAGGTAGCTGTGGTACATGTTGTCGCCTATTAATTTTTTGCGATATCTGCTTATACCCATTTATTTATCTATATGGTAGTAAAAAAAAACGATAAAACATTGTGGAACAAGTTTTCATGTATTGCTAATGTTACAATTACTACAACATCAACGTTTTAATACCTTTTGATAATTTGGCAATCTAGCACAGTTTAAAACACGAATAATACTGTTTTGAAACCTCGTACATATATGAACGGATTAGGTCACCAAAATTTCCCTTCTAAGCGCTGTGACAAAAATTTGGCAAAATACTTGGTATACATGGTGATTCAAAAATGAAAGAACTTTTGTCAGATTCATTGAACAATTTGTAAGTTTTTTGTAATATTATGAAATGGATTTGTCATAGAGTTAGTGTGCCAGTTTTCAATCACCCTGTATAGTATTTCTGCGAGTATTGGCCATATGGTGGTGTGCCTCAAGTAACTCTGAGATCTATCACTGATTTATCGAAACAGTTGGTTTATATTGTCGTATGATAACTTTTTCTAGAAAAAACAGTGGTGGTTGGTTCAGAAAAGATATATAATAAAGAAATAGCAAACTTAATTCCGATCTCTCTTAATGGAAAGTTACATTACATAATCTGTTGCCTTTTTTTGCTATGTTGATGAAGAAAATCGCTTCTGAGCTTTGCTGAATTAATGTCCTGTCAACAACAACCAAAAACATTCTATTTATACTAACTTCGGTAAAAGAACTTTTCTAATAATTAAAACGATATTCAAGAGTCAAATTAATCAAACTGCTATTAGAAACTGGATTTTTTCTGTAATAAATTTACAACTACAACCATGCCACATTCCGGTACAACATTATTGCCTAATTGCTACGTACCGTAGTTGCTAATCTATTTCTACAACTACTATTTATTAGTGATTTATAAACAACCTAGAAATTAACAAAATGCATGACCCAAATTGAAGTTTTTAGCGAAGCGAATTCTGAACAAATTTTATTTACTGGGAAAAAGTGTATATGTGGACAATATGTTTCTAATCGGTCGAGAGAACAAAGAAAATTTCTGTTAAAAAAATCAAAGTTAAAAATGTAAATTGCCTTCACTTTGGAGATAGAAAACGCCACTTTAAATAAATTTTCAATAAATTATGCGTCTCTATAACCGGCTAATCATACAAAAGTGAAAATACTAATAAATCAAACCTATCCCATAGATTAATATTGCCTATACATCATGCTGAACGGAAATTTTTACTTGAAGACTCGTTCCGCGAAAAAATTGAAAGGGTACATCGCAACGCTACCAACACGACCAGTTTTAGCACAGCCGGTGTACCACATATACAGGGAAAAAAGTTAAAGTGGTCATAAATAGCCCCAATACGAGCTGGTGTAGCGTTGTGATCTAATTTTGTTTGGGTCAGTGTCGACGTAACTACGCAGCTTTGATAATTCAGCGAAAAGGTGGATTTTGACAGGATCGATCCACTCCATAAATTTTTTCAACATCGCCACGTAAAAAGTGGTTCATGTATTAAATTATAATTTAAATGTTAGCAAACCGAAATTTCTGCAAATAACAGCCACAGAAATTGGTGCCACTTTGTTTCTTGACACAGTACTTTTGACACGTCTGCATTTAGAACTATTTTATTTGGAAAAGTTGCCACAGAAATCGTATTGAACCAAAAAAAAAAACGACATTCTTGTGGAATATTGACGAATTGGGGTCAAACGTACTGAGACTTTAAATATTTTCTGTCTTTCACATCGTACATCACGATTTGGATATGAAAAAGTTATCTGGTGGTCCCTAATTGCCTGACAGCTGATTCAAAACGTTTTGAAGAGGATTTTCCAATTAAAATCCAATAGTTTCCACCGAATTTCAAACCCAAAATTGACAGGAAATTCACAATTTTCACATTATCATTGTCGAAGAAAAAATCCTCCAGTTGAAAAAAGTCAAAAATGACGTCAATTTCGCGCTACTGTTTGGTGCGGTTACACAAAAATGTGTGTTGACTACACTCTGTAAACATTAACCTTCTAGATAACGTGTCACAAGCATAAACAACAATTTTTCGAACGTGTAACATCGTATTATCGAAACGTACCAGCATGTAGGCAGATTATACATATAAGTACATACTCGATTATATAATGTATTTGTAATAAGGTATTGGTCATAGTCACTTGATATCATATTCCGAACATGCTTTTCTTGTTGTTTTTGTGTTTTTGATTTTTATGGCCAACGAACAACACCAGTTTACGATTTGATAATGAATTTAAATTTGTCTAATAATAATAAAGTTACCTTGAGCACTTGATAATGCACTTTATTGTTAATGAGTTTTCATTTTCGATGCGAAATACACGACGATAAAAATATTTTTTCATTGACGCAAAACCATAATGGGTAGTTTTCTACGCTGTGGCGATCAAGTGATAATGTGTACATTTTTGCTTCGACATATTATAATTACAGCTATCGCTACCAATTGATAAATATTGTGGGAGTTCGTAGAAAGGTGGAATTTGCTGTGCCACAATTTTTTTCGCATCTTCTCGTGTTTCCTCGGTCCCGTCTCCTTTGTCTTCTCCAATAACACGGCAACACTATTTATTGCCTATTTCGAACATTACAAGTCCTCAGCGCGGAAATAAATTTGAATCGAAAACTGTGAAGATAGTGTAAACACCATATTAAATCTACGTTTAGCCGTTTCACAGAAATGTTTATTTCTGTTTTAGAATACCGAAGTCGGGTACGACAACCATGAGAAACGGATTAGGAAGTGTATTTCAGTTTCTCATCACGTAGTCAAAAACATTATGTGAACGAAATCAACTCTCGGCTGACGTAATTCGAAAAGATAAATTAGTATCGACAAGGAGAAGAAAACGCGCTTAGAGTCCCTACTTGAATCTAAAACCTCTAATTACGTTTACCAAATCGTAAAAATTGTGGCTACTGCTTTCGTCGAACGATTTTTTTTCGGAATTGTAATAAGCACAATATATCAACGTATGCTTATCAGCGCTTTGATCGCAGGAAATGCTTTTTAAACGCGTTAGTTACAATAATACCTGACGTGAAACCTAACTCGCCACAGCTGCATTATTATAATTTCTTTTTTCTCAGTTCTAATTATTTGTTTTAGCCAAGTTGGTGTTTTATAATGGCAGAACATCTCGTAAATTAGTCGTATTTGCATAAAATATGTGCAGTAATTGCATTGTATAAATCATGCCACTGCAGAGGAAGTCGGTGTCGAACGAACAGTTTTGACATGCCGGGATGCGTCAAGGCGCCAATCTACGGCCTCGGACTTTTCGGATGTTTGTTCATGACAATCGATGTTTCGTCTGTGCAGAAATCGCCGTCGGAAGTCATAAAGCGCTTACCTGACTCATCAACTTGGAGCCTTTCTTTCCCCGGTGTTCATTCTTAACTTGATATAGCATCTATTAAAAAAACCGCCTACCCATTTCCACCTTGTTCAGCGATAAACTCTTGCCAACAATACACTTCAAGGTTTGATATGATATGTTTACACACGTCGCACAGTCGGGCTCTTTGTCAGACCTAATTATGACAATTCAGCTGGCGGCTAATTGCAAGTGGGAAATGTGTGATGACTGTCGTTAAAAAATAATAAGTAGAAAGAATAATGCGAATTTTATTTTTAGTCGGAGCTGCTGCGGGGCTTAATTGAGATAATGACGCGAAGTGTTTGCAGAAGGAATAGATTAATGATATGCCAGAAGATGGCACTTGGTTTTAAATGTGGAGATGGATTATAGTGTAGTGGATAGTTCGACGAATTGTGTGTGTCCATTACTGCAACTTGCTATTATTAGCATCATCATTATTATTATTTGAATATAAAGAACAGCTGTAATTGTAATAATGGCACATTCTATAAGAAAATCAACCGAAATTTTTGAATTTGTTAGTTTTTCTAGTCAAATTGACAAAAGGCAAATTGATAGACATTGCAAAATTTCTCCAGCTAAACAACAGATGTAAGAAGTGCAAAATTGAAAACATTTTTTTAAATGAAACAATAACAACGTTTTTA